ACTGGTTTTCTTTAGTTTCCACGTTATCGATAATTTAGTCATATTTCAGCATGTCCATTCTTAAGGTGTACTTACATAAACAGTCATACTGTATTGTAGTTATAACTTACTTCTGCAGATTTTCCATTATTTAAAAAAAGAAAATCCAAAACGTTATAGGGAAGAGAAGAATGTGAAGGATGTTTAAAAATACTTACATGCTGAATGTAAAAAAGGAAACAGACATCCCAGGAAATTCCAACATTGCGAGGGGGGAATGAAGAATAGAAATTTCATTATTTGATGGCAATAATTATAGCAATGTTGAAGACTAGAATATAAATATTATATACCTTCACGACATCAACCCAGTTCCAGCCTCGAGGAAGTTCCCCTTTGTGATCTAGAGGATAAAAAATAGTAACTTTATTTTAAGACCAATCAGCTAGTATTAAATTAATTAAAATTCTAATAAATAAGATTATGTACTATTACATACGACAAATAGATAAAACTTTTAAATCACATATTACTAATCTGGAAAAACAGTTTATCATCATTGTGGATTGAAAGCACCATTCTTCTAGGGATGCTTATGGTGCTTTCAATCCACAACAATAAAAATATTTCAAGCATACTCCATTTTTACATTGACATTATTTCCATTCAAGACAAAACCTAATACAAAGGTAAAAATATGGAGGTAGGTTGGTAATACCAAGAAGAAGAGCTAATCAATTTATTATTTTAATGCATTTGCACAATTCTTTTGCTTTATATGAGGGTACTTCGAAAAGTTTGTGGAAAAATAGAATTAAAAGATAATGTGAATGAACTTTTTCAAGTACCCTCATGTAAGGTCACCGCTTATTTAAGTAAGAAGTTATGTTAGTTCCCTGTTTCGTGAATTAGCATTTCACACCAGGAAGCTAGGCTCAGGACAGAAGGCCTTATAAACAAATGTTTGGCTTGTCTTAAAGACCAGGAGGAGCTCTGGCAAACATGTATTAATTGCTGTGCTCTGATAAACTATCATTATTTAACATTCTTTAAAAAAGGCTTTAATCTGTTGGGAGTGCTTGAAAACAAGCTCATATGAATTTATATAAGAATTCATAGTTTACAAAGTGCTTTCATTCTTTTAATATTCAATTTTAAAGAATAGTCTAATAAATATTATTTAAAATTTTTCAATTTAAAATGGCTTGATTTCCTTTGCTTGATGTANCCAGTTCCAGCCTCGAGGAAGTTCCCCTTTGTGATCTAGAGGATAAAAAATAGTAACTTTAAGACCAATCGGCTAGTATTAAATTAATTAAAATTCTAATAAATAAGATTATGTACTATTACATACAACAAATAGATAAAACATTTAAATCACATATTACTAATCTGGAAAAACAGTTTATCATCATTGCGGATTGAAAGCACCATTCTTCTAGGGATGCTTATGGTGCTTTCAATCCACAACAATAAAAGTATTTCAAGCATACTCCATTTTTACATTGACACTATTTCTATTCAAGACAAAACCTAATACAAAGGTAAAAATACGGAGGTAGGTTGGTAATGCCAGGAAGAAGAGCTAATCAATTTATCAGTTTAATGCATTTGCACAATTCTATTGCTTTATATGAGGGTACTTCGAAAAGTTTGTGGAAAAATAGAATTAAAAGATAACGTGAATCTTTCCAGGAACTTTTTCAAGTACCCTCATGTAAGGTCACTGCTGATTTAAGTAAGAAGTTATGTTAGTTCCCTGTTTCGTGAATTAGCATTTCACACCAGGAAGCTATGCTCAAGACAGAAGGCCTTATAAACAAATGCTTGGCTTGTCTTAAAGACTAAGAGGAGCTCTGGCAAACATGTATTAATTGCTGTGCTCTGATAAAATATCATTATTTAACATTCTTTAAAAAAGGCTTTAATCTGTTGGGAGTGCTTGAAAACAAGC